TAGGCATCTCTGACAACTACATGCACAATACGATGAGATGAACAGCTGTAGAAGCGAGATGTAAGGAAAAAAGATTAATCTATTTTTTATGGCCAAGAATGGGATTAAGAATCCATGCTAATTGTAGACAGTTACACTAAACCTCTATCTGCTTTGGCTACTCTTAAGCATTTCCTCTCTATCTGGTGCTTTATCTGTTAAATTAACCTGCCACAGCTGCAGAGGTATGAGCAGATGCTGGAGGACTACCTTGCTGAGCGGGATCCAAGCACAGAGATGGTGACATTTGACAGATATTTCACAGTTCGCTGGGCAAGAGCGTACCATTTTCATTTGCTGCCAACCCCCAGGGAGAACATGGAGCTCACCGGTGAGCCAGGACCACTCATTTTGTCTGGGGTAGGAGCATAGTCCCCGTCTGCAACCTGCCAGCCCCTCGCAGACCACGCACTGGGGCCCTGGCTCCCGGCTTCCCTGGGGAGCAGCGTGCAGCATCTGCTGGGGCTTTGTGGGGTCAGAGAGCCCAGGGCAATGCTCTGTACACCCTTGGTTCCTGTCCTGCGCTCCAGGCGAGCCAGGCACATTCGGTCCCTAATTATCCCCAATTAATAATTAAGTGGGTTTGTTTGTTTCTTTGTTTTTAAAGGCTTCTCTTTCCCTTCCATTTTCTTTCCTTACTGTAACATTTTCTTGTGATACTGGAAAGCATTTCTTCATTGTTTGGACTAATTTCCAAACAGATTAAAAACTGTTGTAGCAGTCAAGCTTCAGTTCCTTCGTTTATTAGATTCAGAAGACAGCAAATTCCTTAAAACACAGATATAAACAATTATGGTAATGCATTCTGATTTTATAATTAGTTTTCATCGCATGAAACATATATAAGTTTGAGCATCAGCTTTTTTTTTTTTTTTTTTTTTTTTTTTTTTTTTTTTTTTTCCTGCCCTCCTCTTTTCCCAGCTTCGAGTTTGGAGTTCATGCATTTCCATTCCCAAATGTGCTCACAGTCCTTGGTGGGCTACATAGTAAGGGATGCAGCCTTACTCCTCAGAGACACCAAAATATGAGAGAGAAGGCCACAAATGCTGGAATGGGGAATATTTTACTGTAAAATAGATTAACTGTGGCATGTCTTTTTTTTTTTTTTTTTTTCATTATGAAAAAGATAAGGAAATTGCATAAGCTTTCTGAAAATTTTCATTCCCATCTCACAGTGAGATCAGGAACCTGGGAACTCAAAAGCATTCAGTATCCAGGTGAAATAAGGCACAAATGGTGCTAATCTCTGGAGTAGGGCAAAGTGGCTCTTTTCACAGTGAGTGCTAGAGGGGAGGTTTTTGCCTACGGATATAAATACAAAGCTCTCAAGTACTTCATGGCAAGCCTGACCTCGCCCTGCTACACTCACTGAGATATTTTCCAGTGACTTTTTTTGGGCACAGAATCAAGCTGTTGGGACTTTGCTGAGAGCTGAATTTGGGCCCTTGTTGTTATTACATCCAAGAGCTTCTTAATTTTTGTTTTAATTACTTTTGTCTTACACATCCAGAAGGATAGGAAATGAGTTCTATTAATATGTTGAGAATGCAGTGATCATTAAAGAATAAAGAAAGGATTATAGTAGTCTGGTGCAGTCCTCCCACATGGAACCCCGAAACCTAATTGTAGCCCTTGAGGGTTTGAGCATTGCCCTGCTTAATGATAATTTGTGTCACTGCTCCAAAAAGGAAGTGGCTGTTAGGGCAGGAAAAAAGCTCTGATGAACAGCAGGAGAGATTAAATTAACATGAATGGGAAGAAGCCCCATATGTGATCCTGGGATCCATTAAGAGAGGTATTTCCAGGAGAAAGAGGGAAGTATTAATACCATTGTACAAAACACTGATGAGTTTTGAACAATCTCATCTGTATAATTCTCATCACTTACCTTCAAGGAAAACAAAGTCAAGCTGAAGCAGGTGCTGGAAAGGACAGCAGGGTGATGGGGGCGGACGGCTGGAGAGCCTGCCTGACAAGTGGGGACATCTCTATTCTGTGTATTGAAGTACGGCAAAGAAAGCCTTGAGCTAGCACCTGCCCAAGCTAGTACATCCAGATGGTGCACTCAAATGTGGAAATAGCAGCATCAGTGTGGCCCTGAACCTCAGCTGAAGTACCCTGCAATGCAGCAGTGCTTGTTTGCTCAGGTGAAATGCTGTGCTGAAGCACCTTTACAGCTTCCTTCAACTGAGGCTGGCTTCTGTGGAGGCCAGCTTGCACGGCTTTTTTCCTTGGGTTGTGGCACATCCTAAAAGATCTTGCTGAACCTACTCGAGTCAAGACTGAATGGATATAATTTCTCTCTTTCTGAGGAGAGAAGCACGTACTGAACTGTGTGCACATATGTTATGGGAAGGGTAGGTGAAGGAGGGAGAATGGGAAGGAGCTAGTTAAATCTGGAGCAAGGATAAATGTACTATAAGTGGTCATGAACACAGAAGGAGCCCTAACTGGCAAAGGAGCAGTTCTGCAGTGGCTTTATATTAAAAGTATTGAACCTGGTTCTTAGCTGATGTTTGTTACCTGTCACATTTCCTGGGTAAGTCCATGTCCCCTGTAAGTGCCAGAGTGCTCAGTAAATCTCCTGAGGCCAAGAATTCACAGGGTCTTCTGGGCTGGATAGTGGTGTCTAACTTACATCCATTCATTCTGTCACCTAAACACAAACATCATTTAACCTTTTTTTTTAAACACGTTTTATAAGTAGACCTCAATGAAACCTAAAAAGAATATTGGGATCTCATAGATAAGGGAAATATTTTCACCTGCAGGCACGGAGAAGTGAAATGACAGAGCTGTGGTTGCACTGTAGACTGGGGACAAAAAGAATCCATATTTCTCATGTTTCAGTTACAAGGGGCCAATTGAAACCAGTGACAGATTTACACCGACTGGCATTTGAGAGGGTGAATGAGGGCCCCCCCTTTGGTTCCTTTTAAAGAGGTCTTTACCCAGTACCGATGTGCAGCCACTTCTGGGTGAGAACTCAGAGGTGACAACTAATTTACAACCTCCTGCAAAGCCTAGACATTGGAAGTAAAGATTTGGCTAGAATGACAGGACGCTTTGTAGACCAAGATCCAATCACCAGATTTAGTTTCTTTGATAGGAAATTTTCTTTGGTGATTCTGGAAAAAAGTACTGCGTGAAGTTCCTTAACTTCACTGAATGTACCACTGCTTGATGTTGCCTTGGCTGATGTCTGCCGATGCGCTGAGATCTGTGCTAGAGCACTGCTTCAGTATGAACTAAATATCTCCTCTTTGAGTAGGAACTGAACTGCTGTCTCCCAAGTTCTCACTAGCTCTACATCTGATCTTAATTCATTTGTCATGGGTCTGAACGAGAGCGCTACATGCACAGAATGTGGTAGCTCCATAACTGTGGCTACCCCTGCACAAAGGGCTGTTAGTATAACATGGCAGAGAACTGAAGCTCAACTGCAAAGATCTTTGTATGTATGTGTAGGGCAAGGCCCACAAGGTGAGCCAGCCACGTTGTGCTGATGTGCACAGGGCGCTGATCACTCCTTGGGGGGCAGGACCCTTCTGAGGTCGGTGTGAAGGTACGCTGAATTTATGCACTGTATGCTTAAGCATGATGCCAAAGGCAGCCTCTATGTGTCTGTTTGTTTCACTCTTCAAGGCAATTTATACGGACTAGAAGAGACAGAGACAGTGGAGGTTAAATATTCAGGGTGGGGATTTAGCTGCGTGGATCCTTTCAAGGTTAATGGAAGTTGTACCACTAAGTCCCTTCATGTCACTCCGAATAGTCAGTAACCCTTGTACTGTATGCCTTGACAGGAACTTTGTCATAAACAGGAGCAGCTCCAGAATTAAAAATTGTCTGATGAGCCAAATGAATTGATCATTCGAAGGACAGCAAGTTCTGTTGCAGTTGCTATTATGTTCAGAAACTGAGACATACAAAGAGTTAAGGAAGAGATTAGGATTTTGCAAGAAGTGACCTCTGTTTTCCTATCTGAGATCCTTTTGAGCCTTATGATGCATCAGTTTTCATTATCATCCCCATGAAGATGTCATCAAATTCTCATCCTGTTATGTTCCAAATATCTCCTGAGAAATTTGAGCCACCTTATCTACACTGAGAGCTAAGCATGTTGAGCACTTGGCACAAACTGGGCTGTAGCGCAAAGGAAGCCAAGCTATGGCTTTAACCCAGAGGTAGTGCTCTGAGGTCCTGGCCATGAGCTGTCTCTGTAATATCTGGGTGCAAACTATTCTGAAAGGAGTAATGTTGCACACTGGGCTGTTAGGTTTCTTTCTGGTGTACCACAGCAGAAAACTGGAGGGCAGGGGACACCCGCCTTTCATGCAATAAATTGTATCTCCCGGGGATGTGGTGAAGTTGCAGAGACCCTCGCCTGGGCAGACTTGAATCCTCCACCAGCAGAACAGCTATAACCTCCAGGAAATGCTTCACATCATAAAACCCTCACCACTTCAAAAGTGGTGTTTGAAGTCACTTTTTCTAGCAAGTCTGGTCATCAGTGACAAGATAAGGGTTAAAAAGTCTTTCTTCCACTAGGAGAAAACAGTAGATTATCAGCCTTTATCCTTCTCAGAAACACCCAGGACACAGGTCAGCTGAACCTTTATGCGAGTCAGGACTCATTTTCTCTAATATAATCATATGTTTGGTGATGGATTCAAAGAAAATTGCCCAGTACTTGCAGGGTTAAATCACTAATAATGATGTTAGTAGTGATCCGGCTGGTGAAGTATAATTCCCCTGGGATCACTTTCTCCAAGAAAGGCAGCTGTGTGCTGTGGTGCTTTTTGTGAGGAAGGCATTATACCCTGATTTCATGTGGATTAGGTGATCGCTTTCTCATCTAACCCTTTTTTTACGCTTAAAGTTCATATCAGTGAGGTGATAAGAGAGTGACATTCACTGACATGTGACCATCTTTTGTCTCTATTTGTCTTCATTACCAGGTTTTGGTAACCTTGGAGAAACAAGTTACAGCAACCATCAGCCCAGGCGACAAATTTGCAAGCAGGCCAGGGTGTAAGCGGGAGGATCTGATCTGAGGTGAGTCCCTGCTCCTCCTGAGTAATGCACCTTCACAGACTTCACTCTTCAGGATGATTTGGTGTAGCAAAAAGGTGTGAAACAGGGAAATCCAGACCCAGGTAATTCAGCTCACGTTTAAAAGGAGGTTTTGCTTGTTGATTAGGTAATCCTTCTCTAGGAAATGCACGGCACCAACTGCTTTTCATGCTAGATTAGTGCTCCTGTGGTCAATTTGCTTTTACTAATGTCAGGGCCCCACGGAGCAGGTTCATCTGTCGCATAGCAACTGCTTCAGCAGCAGTGGAGGTAGCCATGCATAAAAGATTACACATGATGGCAGGGCACAAGTGTGAAGATTTTCAAAATTAGATACAATCTCAGCATGAATATGAACTGCAGAATTGACATGGAAGGATTTTTTTCAAGTCATCAAGTTTCCATATTTATCAGAAAAAGTGGTTTAACTGCAGTGCATGTAAAACCAAGGAAATGCAGAGGGCAGTAATTTAGAAAAAGCAGCAAACAAGCCAGTGTCTGTATACAAATAAATGTAAACAGAAAGCCCCACACAGCTTCTGCCAACTGTGAGGCCGCCTTTAGTTTCATGCTACGGATGCCCTCAGGAGCGGAGACTATCTACAATATTTTATGTACATTTCGAAAGGTCACCCTCTGAAACATCCCACTGGTAAGAGTGGGTGAGATAACTTACGTGGCTTCATTTACAGCAGACTTCAGAGCGACCCGTAAAGCTCCCACACCCTGCTCCACCCGTGCTGGGACTCTGCCTCCCTTGCTGCCTTGTTCAGAGGAGCACATACATTTCCAGCTTTTACTAGCTGCTTTATTTCTGGCTTCTGCTTTGTCTCACAGTCCAGCTTTCTTGGACATTTCTTTTCAAACTACATGCAATCTTTTCTCTTAATAGATGGACAGAGAGAGAGAGAGAGAGATTGATCGATTAGTTATTTTAGAAGCGGTATGTCAAGGACTGTGTTTTGTTGCTAAAAGAGGTTTTTCTTCTGTCTCTAAAGTAGAGCAAAAGTGAGAATTTGAAGATCTTTGTATTTGAAGTGCCCTGCTAATTTGACAGACCACTTTTGCAGGGAAGGTTTGTTTTTGTTTTGTACTCTTCTGTATTCCCTCTTACAGGGAGGACAAAAGACTCAGCTCACGCTGCAGAGCGCTGTGGCTGATCCTTTTGTATGCAAGACCAGCAGACTTGCCTGAAACAGGAACCTTGGAGGTAAATCAGGCTAATGAAGCAGCTCAGAGAGGCAATGTGCATTATTTGTATCCCACAATGATTTTAAAGTCAACACACATACAGTACCGAGTATTTTGAAGCCTAAGATACCTGTAGGAGATCCAAGAGAAGGCGGTTCATCTAGTCTCCTCAGTGCTTTCATTTAGCTGATAGCAATTAGCTCTCTTTTCATAGTGAGGAATACAGGAACCATTTCACTCTCTGGATAAATTTTATCTAGGCAAGAAATTATGTTATGACAGTTGCTATCCGTGATGCTAAAATGCTTTTATTAGGACAATTACAGCTCTTTTTTACTCCAGGCTGAAAGAGAAAGTGAAAAGCTAGCTTTGCTAGAGAGAAGGCAGTTTGTTAGGAATGGCCTTTTGCTGCAAAAAGATCAGGGTCTTCTGGATTAATCTTTGGATTATATAGATTTTCCAAGGATAAGACAGCTAAGTCATCCTCCGTCTCTAAGGAAGACAGCATTGTAGCTGCTTTGGCTAATCTAAGACAACAGCTTTTCCCTTGGAGGGTGTCAGTAATCCAAAAGATTGGTAGATAAAATAATTGAAGTTCTCAGGGGTTAAGTTTAGAGACTGCAGCCATTTTTGCAAGAGCAACAGCTTATTAAACTGACAAAGCCACACTTCACTACCCACTGGCCCTCGCTCAGCTGCCATCACAGTGTTACCTCCTCAGCTTGTGTTTGGGGCATTTTGAGGGGAAGGGAAGACAGGAGGAAAAAAATTAGGGCGTCATAACAGCCAAAATTCTTCCTTGCCATGAATAAGGTTCATAATTCTGTCCAGTTCAGCTGTATTTACCAACCTGAGATGTCGAAGCACAATCTAGGCTGCAGTGGTGGTGGTTATCCTGCTCTACACAATGGGAATGCTTTACTAACCTTGTTTGTAAGCAGGCAACTGAGGCACAGAGTGCTTACCTGATGTTTCCCATCATGCTATATATTTATGGTATAGGAAGGAGAGTCCCAAATTTTATTTCCCATTTTATACTATATGAGCAACCTCACGTTCTCTTGGGCCCAATGCAGGACCTCAAAGTCCAGCAGTTGGTACCATGCCATAGCTTGTGCCTGGAGCCTGGTACACCACAAAAAGCACACACAGCCCATGGAGCCAAGGGCTCTCCATCCCTCCCTGCATCAGAGCCTTTGTCAGTGAGCATGCTTAGCCCTGTGAGCCACAGCAACATTTCACGTGACATCTCCAGTGCTGAACCCTCCCCTTGCATGCTTCTCCAGAAGGCATGGAGCAATTGGGCTGGGGAATAGAAAACTGTTATTAAATCAATGCTTTATTCAGGTTTGGTCCTGTGAAAGATGAAAGAGGGAGGCTCTCCCAGGGGCCACCCAACCACGAGTCTTTTTGTGTTTGAAGAGCCCCATCATTAGCCTCCACTGTTTGCAGATATCTGACATATTCAGGCAACGTTTCTGATAAAACACATAGAATAATTTTCAGCCTCTCCTTACATGATATTGCCAAGGGCTCATTTTCTATCTTGCACTTAGACTGCCAGCTTTATAAGACCAGCCCTAGCTTTACTCAGAGCACGTTTGGCAACTCCTATTTTTCAAGCAGTCAAGTTCATCCCTGTCAGAGTGTGAGAAGAAACATGCTGCCATTTTTCTGGAGCTATTAATAGGAGACAAATCATCTTCCTTCTCTGATAGGAAAGCTAAAGTAAGAACAGCAGTCATGTCTTTCTGTCTAGATGTATTGAAGGTGATACTAATTATGTTTCCACAATAAAAAACAATTTCTTATCAAATGTATATGCATTTTACAAACCCACACATATGTACAAGTTTAGTACTTACAGTATGGATGGATTCTTTTGTTCCTTTTTAAACTGTCCTTTATTCTTCTCTAAAAACCACTCACAAAGCAGAAAAATATGAACAGTTTGACTAATATATGGATTTATGCTGTCCAGCCCTGCCTCTAACAACAATCAGTGCCTGTTCCTGTGGCAAAAGGTGCAGTTCTAGAGCTGTGGCATAGTGGTGCCAGTCACACTTTCTTAATAGACTTGGTAGGAGAAGCTTGGGGCAGGCTCTGAAGAAAGGTGTTTCAAAACTGTTTTTTTTTTTTTTTAATTTAAAAATATATATTTAGTGCTGTCACCTTGCATATACTGTCTCCTGCAGTGCATTTTCAGAGCCTCTTGTCCTTATTGGAGCACAACATATTCATGAAGAGTTGAGTAGGACTGTTAAGCTGCTTTTAAACCTCATATCTACAATTTCTTTACACATTCAGCTTATGTTTCCACCCAAGACAACCAAACCATTTTATGTTAAATCAAAAACAAACAAACAAACAAACAACACAAAACAAAACTATAGATTGGGTATAGCATAGAGAATAATGTTGATGTTTTTTCCAGTATTTGTGGCTACTCCTGAATATCAGTGGTTTTATACTTCAGCAAAACTGTATGCAAATTCTAGATCCTTTATCTGAAATCTGGAGGGCTCTGATAGAATTAATTTTGATTTTATTATCCTTATCTGTTCTTAAATATCTACTGGTATACCATAATCTCTTCTCTGTCTAATACATATTCTTTATATTTTTACAATTTGTTCTACTTTTTTAAAAGTCTGACTCTAGTAAGAGCAATACATGATGCTATAGCCTTTTCTTTACAAATATTTCAGATCTGATAATATGATCACTGACTTCAAATTGTACAGCAAATTGTGCTTTACTGATCATCCTGGTTCATTTTTTTGAAACAGAGTCCATGAGAATTATGACCCTCTTGATTCACTCATACAGGTAGTAAGTATATAAAGCCACTATATTCTGAAGGAGACTGAACTAATGAACTAATTTTCACTATTGATTTTTCCCCCAATTAATGCTGAAGTAACATTAAAGGTATAAAACTTGGTCATTCTATTTGATACATCTATTATCTGGATATGTATTTGCATGTTTTACTTCTGCTCTGGACAGCTAATTATACACCTAAGTCTCTCTTTCTTTCCTCCACTGTTCTCCTTCCCCCTTTCCATCCTATTTACATCATTGCTGTGGAATCCATCACTTTTTTTTCCAGTCTTTTTTGCTACATAGCTGAATTTCAATGGTTTACACAAGTCTATATTATTTTGGAAAATAAATATCATTCTGTTTTAGGTTTCTTAATGCAAAAAATATAATTCAAGCAGACTTACACTGTATAAAATTTATGTCAGTACAGAGAAAAATAGTCCCCATGTTATTTTTTAATTGATAATAATGTTTTCTTGCTGGAAGGAACAATCAGCCTTTCCATTTTCTCTTACTTTGTTTTCCTCATTATACCTTTTCAGATTAATAGTATTTTGCTATCACATACTTTCACCTGAGATTTGATGCTCCCATTCTACTGTATATCCAGTCCTACAATTAGCATTTGCTAATTAAAAATATCATATTTCACTGTTAATAGCCACTGTATCCTCTTCCTTTCTTTGTGCAGGTACAGTTTATTTTTCTTAGTCTGCATTGTTTAAGTACCATGTCAGGACTGTCTCAATGCAGATTCACAGCCTTCATCCATCAGTGACAACCTGAACTGTTTGTTCATCAAAAATTTTTGCTTAACTCCCAGATTCCTGAATGACTATAAGTGAGCTTGAACTCTTTACCTTTCCTCATCATCTCTCTCACTTCACCCTGGGGACTTAAATCTTGTCTTCAATGTCATCTACCTTGTCTAAAGACTGGCCCCCAGCCCTCTGTAGTTTGTGTTC